AAAGAACATGCCAAAGGCTTCTCTATTAATCTTTTGAAGCTCACGCAATTGATAGACCATCGCCCCAATGTGTCTGACTCAGTGCATCAATGTGATGATGGCGTATCGGAATCATCAGGATTCCAAGAAATGCAGGAGTCAGAGCCAGCGTCATCAGACAACTGCACTTTGCCAACAGCACTCGGTTCTTCAAATAAACTTGCATTGTAAACGATGTTGATGGAACAGGAATTGAAGAAGTGAATCACCACCATGATGATTGCAAACGCCACACTAAATGTCACCATCATGATTGCCATGGCTTCCATCATAAACAGCACGTTTGATTGAACAAGTTTGAGTGCTCAACTTGGCTGCTAAGATGAAATTTCCATCACAATGTACACCTTGCAAAAGAATAAATCAAATGCGAATCAGTGCAGCAGCTCAACACATACTAAGGACAAGTTTGAACACTCAACTTGACTGTTAAGATCACAATGCCATCAAAACATGCGCCTTGCAAAATGATAAACCAAATGCGAATCTTAAAGCACAGTGCAGCAGCTCAGCACATACCTTTTTCACTTACAGCCACATTTCTTGTGTTTGCAGATCCAATCCAGCGCGCCCTTCTCATCAACCCTTGTGGATGACCCCTTGTACGGCGCGCGTGTTGCCCAGTCACCTGAACTCATCATGAAACCATATTCATAAGACAATCAATGGAAAAATAAACATCTCAGTACCTCAAAGACAACTTGCTTGTGAAACCAAGGCGCCTCCAACCTTGTTGGCATGGACCCTGTAATAGTAAGTTGCTTTGTCTCGGGAACAACTTTGCCACATTTATCACATTTCACTGTCTCCCATTGAATGACTCCTTTCTTTGGTTGAATTGGCCCACGGTGGCTGGGGGCCACAGTTGTTGCTTCAGAACCTTCAGTCTGAGTCTTTTGCCTAGCTTCCTTCAGCTCGGGAGCCTCACTGATGAGCTTTGGAGTGGGTCTTTGATTTGATGACGATGAAGCACGCCAATCAGGCTCTTCAAGATCAAGACCTTGAAGTTCACGCAAAGAAGTATCATCATCAATATTATGACCGATCGACTTCGTTTCAGTCAACTTCTGCTTTTTGGCCGGCGGCCCTTGACCCGGCAGCTGGTTGGGGTCAGGCACTGCCCCCTTCTGTTCAATAGCAGCAGGCACAGTGCCCTCTGACTCTGAGGGCACAGTGCCCTCCAGCAAAGGCTGATCAGCAGCAGGCACAGTGCCCTCCAGCAAAGACTGATCAGCAGCAGGGAGAGTGCCCTCCAGTAAAGGCTGAGCAGCAGCAGACAGTGCCCTCCAGCAAAGACTGATCAGCAGACAACTGCGATGGCAGATCAGCAGGCACTGTGCTAGCGTGCGGCGGCTCAGCAGCAGGTGCTTCCACTGCAGGGGCAATTTGCAAGCAATTGCAAGTCGTTTGGCTCTTTTGCAAATCTCTGTGCCACTGAGCTTCTTGTTTTTCTGTTTTTCTTTCTTTGAGGCTTTCCCTTCTTGGAGCCTTTCTGATTCTTGTCTGACTTTGTCGCCGGCTTTCTTTTCTTGGGTTCACGCTTAGCCCGAGCTTCTACTATCTGATCATGAAGCATGGCTTTTGTTTCCTTGATTCTGCGCTTGCCAGCTTCTCTCACCTGATTACACTCTTTTTTCTTCTTCATCAATATATTCCAGGACATCTTGGTCAACATCATTTCCCAGGGCAGACTTGAATAAGTGTTTCTTGGGCTGATCTGCTTCGTTCTGCTTCCGTGACCAAACCTGCTGGACCAGGTCCACAAAAGCTTGGTCATTGGGGTGGATCTTGTGGGCCAACTTGGTCATGATCTCCTTGATTGTGTCTCTCTCTTTCAAGCCAGTTACCCCAAGTTGCACAGCCAGCTGCTCCAACAACTTCTTCTGCCATGATCCACAATACCTGACAATCAAAAAAGAGCAAGTTATACATTTATGCAATCAAAAAAAGTGAATGAATAAATCGGTTGCCAGGATACGTTCGGTCCTTCAGCATAACATCCAGCAGATTCTCTCAAGAAGATCGATTGCACTGAAGACAAATCATGTTCGATTGCCACACAGGCTCCATTTCCCACCTTCCAGTCCTGTGGTTCGTGCAAAAAATCCCACTTTGCTCCCGCATCGCATTGCAGAGTGTAGTATTCAACTTCATCATCAGAATAACACAACTCAAGGGGCCACATCAACACACCCCAGTCAGCATGACCCAAAGAAAACTGTGGCGGCGATGACGCAGTGCCCTTCAGCTGAAACACCAGGCCCCTTCTGGCCACTTTGCTGAAGACTCCTGAAGTGGCTTGCAGGTGCCAAAGACCGAAAGGGTCTGAGATTGAAATTGGAGCCAGGCCCAAGCTGCTGCAGCTGTTTCCAATGACTCCTCTGTAAATGCACTCCATGACCTCGTGCTACAAATTGAAACATATTCTTCAGGCAACACGTGCGCCTTTGAGAAGTACATTTCCTTGACTCTCCTGCCAGATCCCAGAGCCTGAATAAACTCAGACTCAGATGCTTCAGCATCATGTGAAATGCTACGGTTTTCAAGGCCTCCAGAGTTCATGCAAACCGATTGCATAGTTGAAGGCGTCAATTTGTTATTTTTGTTTCCCCTGGCTTCCAATCGCAAGGCATTGTGAACATCTTCAACGATCTTGTTGTCAGGGAATGTTTGGATCAATGTCTGCAGCAAGTGTTCTCCAGCTTCCTTATGGCTCTGCCCCAGTACCACGCTGGTCTTGTGGCCATATCCTCGCAGTCGCCTGTGGTCATAGTCATTGCTTTCAAATGCATCCATCATAAGTCTTGCCGGACGGTTGACTGCAAAGCAAACTTTTTCTTTGAGCTGCTGAGCAACAAAACTTTCCTTCAAACTTGGATCATTGGCAACATCATCCTCCCATTTCAGAAGGCATTCGTGATGCTTCCTCAAAAGCTCCAGGGATGTCTTGCGAACTTCATTCTCAGGAGATCAGGAGAGAGCACTCCAGCATATTGCTCTGGGGGCAGGGCATGCCGAACAGCCAATGACCATGTCCGGCAGGCAACACCCCATTCCAATCAGGGCATGATTCCCACAACACTCTGACCCGAAGAGTACTGAATACTTAGCGGACTTGAATTACGGCCGCGCAGTAGTTAGGGAGCGAGACCGCCCGGGTAGAGTAGACTAGAACAGGGACAACAGAAGGAAAGGCGCCGACGCACAAGTGTGTTGAGTACCATTTCCTTCTGTTACCCTAATTGGAACTGCAGGTACGTTTCCAGCTCTCACCATTGGCCTCTTCGGGGCCGTGCCACTGGGAGCGCAAAACATTCGTGTGTAAACGCGGCATGTCGCTGGTGAGCGGGATGATTGGTGGATGCATATGACATGGTTGCCTCTAGTTTGCGGCGGACGGTGTGGCAAAATGAGTGCGGTGTCCTGCAAGACTGTCCTCAAAAGTTTCGGGACCGTGCTCATTTCGGACGGCAATGGTTTGGACGCAGGCAGCGCTTTGCATCAAAATGCCCAAAGTGGGCGTGCAGTTGTCCCGGCTGCAGTATGACATCATCTACATCACTTCATCCTCATCACCTCAGCATCATCATATTCAGCAAGTTCATCATCTTCGTCATCGTCGTGGTCGTCGTCATCATCATCGTCATCGTCAACATCATAGATCCCTCATCCCACATCATTGCATCTGCATTCTCACTCTAAAGCCTATCATCAGCTAACATCTCTTTCTTGCTGTTCCTGCGTTGGGGCTTTCGGGCCACACTGTCGTTTAGTTTGGGGTGCTTAGGGTGCAAGTGCAGCTTGACCAAATGGCTAGAGGGAAAGGACAAAGACGGGCCGGGATGGCCAGGGATGGCCTTGACGCACTGACGCACTGCTATTCTGAGATCAATTTTTCTCAGAGCCCGAGCTGGGTGAAGCACAGGAGGTGTCGGATGCCATCAAAGAATGGAGCGAAGAGGCCAATTGCCAGGCGCATGCGTCACGTGCCACGTCCACTGAAAGAGTGCATGAAAGGAAACAAAGACGGGTGACGTCCGAAAACGCAGTGAAGCTGGGATTTTGACACTGGTTCCAAGCAGAAAGGCCCTTAGCCGCTAAAACCTTTTCCTCTGACATCTTTCTTCGGCTCAAGATTTTGATCGCACCATCAAAACAAACTACTCGTTTAACCCTAACTCAAGCGTTGCCCTCACCCAGGGTTCACATCAGACTCAGTCAGAGGCACTTCTATGGAAGATCCAAAGAAAAAAACATGGAAACAGTGGAAGCAAACACCGGCCTTACTAACCTTTCTGGCGACAACTTCACAGCTCTGCGACTCTGCCTGAGTATGTTTCGGCTTGAATGTTGTATCCTATGTCTTGGTTACTGGACATCAGTGGCTGCCACGAGCACCACGAGCACCACGAGCGCAGCTCCTCTTAGTCCAATGTGTTTCAGCAATGAAGAGACGTGTTACTTTTCAACTGTTGGCGACAGCCACTGGTGGGATGGCACTGCAAAGGACTGCACTACAGCATCCCCAGCACTGAAGTTATTTGGACCGTGACACGCACACTTGGGCCTATGCTACAATTGGCAATGGATGCAATGCTAGCGGTACCAACTGCATAGAATCCAACAAATCCCAGTCAAAAGGAGACGAGTGCGCAGTGGTTCTGAAGAAGGGTGTATATCTGCATTTTGAGACTCACAAACTCAAGACTTCCACCTCCCAGCTCGTTTTCTTTGACTTCAACTATTCCGGCGGGACAAGCCTATTGCATCGAATTGGTGACGCTGCACCGGCATTTCAAGCCAAGAGCTCTTGGTGCATTTCTTGGTTCACAACCGCTCCCAAGAGATCCTGGTGGAAGATATGCAGTGGTTGCCCACACGGAAGCACGAAGGTGGGGGCAGATGATGAACTGTGTCAGGCAAATGAATTCACCTGTGTCAAACCAAAGAGTATCACTCTCATGGGATTGCAGCTTCCGCACATCTATGCCGCGGGCAATTGCTCTGGCAAAAATTTGACACCCATCGAAGCAGAGATTCAATGCATTGCAACAGAAAAGCGGACGACCTATTTGGTTGCTATCGCCTTGTCCGATATTCTGGCGCTTTCCAGCATGACCATCTTGAGTTTTGCTGCTTGGGTGTTGCCAGCCTTTCTGGTGATGCATTTTCTTTCAACTTTCGTGTTGATCCTGGTGGCAATTTGCCGAGGGGCCGACCAGAGAAACTTGAGGCTCAGGATCAATGCAATCGTTCAAGCGGCGAGCCAATGGGGATGCGGCCAGACAGGCGCAAGAGTGACCTTTGTGGTTTGCTCATTTGTGGTGATACTGACCATTCTTTATGTGAAGTCTTGCGGCGATGAGGCAGGCTTGGGGGATTCGTGCATGCGATTCAATCCTAAAGTCCAGATGTGGAGAAAACATCTCCTAGAACTGTCCAAGAACATTGCTTTCCAAGGAACTGTCAAGTTGCACGTTTGCATGTTCTCCCAAAATACTGCAAAAACTCACATGAAGACATCATAAGACAACATCTCCTAAAGACATTTGTGGATTGCCAATGGTCGCCTTTTATGGAAATCCATGTGCTGCACGAGGCCTCAGCTAACTTCTGGATGCTTGACTGGCAGATTCTGGGTGCTTTGCCTCAGCTCGGGAGTGATTGACTGGTGGCACTCCCGTGTGAAAAGCAGCTCTCATGTTGAAGCTGGGGGTCTTTCCTTTGTTGCGGCTGTCAAAACCCGGCCTGTGTTTGCCTTTGGGACTACAAGCCAAGCGTCCTGAAGAGCCCAGTGATCCAATGGTTATGCCTGAATCGGCTGAATCAGGGGAAGCTAGCACACCTGCTCTGCCATGGAGTATGTCACGGGATCTCCTGAGAGAGGCACTGGTGCGGGAAGAAACACATGCTGTTAGACTTCAAGCTGTGTAGGCTTTTGAGTGTTGATCGAAGCACCCATCAGGCTCCCTTGACCCGGGAGAAGACAGAGTCAGGAAACCTACACCTGAGTCAGGAAACCAGATCGTCCTAGTCAGGAAACCTTTTTGTCAGAGTCAGGAAACCTAGAAATCAGTTCACAATAGAACAACAATAAGAACAAGAGCAAGCAGGACACCTTGACCCTGTTTGGAGTACAAAATGGCACCAACCTACCTACCTTAAAGGCTGGTGAAAGAGGGGTCAAACAGGTTCCAGCCTGGAAGGTGTGCAGGGAGGTATCCCTGATTTCATTGCTCTTGCTCACAAGGGACTTGTTTGCAAAAGGCAAATGGAAACCGATGGATCCCTGAGGTTTCAACATGCATCAATCCCTTCTGTTCGAAGGCCAGCCTTTTGGCTGGAGCCGAACGTTTGGCACATATCGCCACCATCCAAAGACCCGGTCGCTGGTTTGACTCGTAAGATCATGCAAAATCTACAGTATAGCAGCTGAGTTTTCAGGTGCTCAGGTTTTTGAACTTGAAGTGCTGGATGATGAGTTTAGTCTGGAGATGTTTGGAGCGTGCAAAAGTTGTTGTTTATGATGTGGCAATGGCAATGTTGTATGTGGTCACAAATGTAGTCATTGTTTTGTGGTGATGCGGTTATGTGTGACTGCTTTGTGCTTTGATTTGCCATCGGGCCATAGGATTGAAGGGCACACAGTGGCTTCGATTGCATGCAAGGTCGGATTGCAATCGTACATTCAGGGCATGCACTTTCACATCATTTTCATGCAAGGTCAGTGCTCTCTCCCATCCATTTGCATTCTGTAGGGGTCTTCTGTGTTTGTACCTCTGAACTTTCCTATCTCCAACACATGGTGTACTAGGGATTCAATTCTACCAGTACTGCGGATTCTCTACCAAATTATGGTGTTTAACCTATTGAATCACTCACTCACTGACACTGGTGTTCCACGACTTACCCCAAGGAAGATTGAATCGAAACTTGTTTGATTAGAGCCGCGCAAGCTGTGCTTCGCTCGACCGAAACGGAGCGAAATTCCGGGCTCAGCCGACGGTCCCACCGAGTTCCACAGGAACAAGAGTACATGCGCAAGTACGGAGAGCTGGTGGCGAAGAATGCAACTCCTGACGATGTGTCCGAACACGTGCAGACCGAGGTGAGCACCATGATCATGCTTGCTCTGGGGAGGTTTCTGGTTCAACAGCCAGGGGACATCAACGAGTTGTGCAAAAAGGTGCATTTGGGACTTGTCGAGTTGCTCCCACTTCTTTACTTCCTGGTCTGGGCACTTCTTGTGGCTGAAATATCCTTCCTCCATGCCGACTTTTTGCCACCAAGTCCGCTGCCTCCACAAGTGAAAGAATTCATTCCACAGTTGGCACGCTATGAATTTGAGAAGAACCTTGGAATCATCCCTGGCTGCTTGGCAGCACTTTTTGCCTTGCTTGCGGCTGCTTAGTTGCAAGCAGAGTGGCATCACACGGCGTTTGCGTGAGTGGCTGTATGCCTACGGCCCGCTAGAGCAGTGGCAAGCAATGTACCGCAAAGGCCAAGAGCTTCAGGATGCAACATATGCCAGGGTTTCCAAGAAGGAAAAGGAGAAGCTTTTAGCACCACAAGAGAGGTCCACTTCACGGGTCGCGTGTGGCTTCCAAGTGAACTCCCACGCTGTGGCCCTTCCACGCAAGTCGGAGGTCTTCTTGAAACTGGGCATCTACGGGGTGCTTGGGTTGAGCATGTTTGGGTATCTATGTGTCCAGGAAGATCTCAGTGAACATCTAGCTCCAGTCCGAGAGATGATTAATAAACTTGCAGATTCACATCTTAGCAAGACCAAGTCAGCCATGCCGAACAATCAGCAGGAGACTCCATCTCAGGTTACACACCTGATGTACAACTGGCCCATCAAGCATCCTGAGCTCTACTACCTGGCCCTTTGGCTTCCCATTTTTCTGTTTCGCCTCTTCAATGCTATTCTTTTTGGAGCTGAATGTTCATTCCTCGCACAGACCTCTGAGAGACTCTTTAAGAAGGTGGGCGCGGGGGATGAGGGCAGGTCGCAGGTGAAAGAGCAGCTTGACGTCCTGAAGTGGAAGGTTCAGGACATCTCCTCCGACTGGAGCTTGATGCTGAAGTTTGGCGTTGTGCTGGACTTCGTGGCAGTCGCCACTGGGGCTTTGGCTGTATGGCGTCTGACAAGGCACTTTGATCGCGGGTATGATGTATTCAATTGTGGCTTGCCTCATCACTTTAACGAGTATGATGGATTCAGTGGCTTGCTGGTGTCCAACTGTTTTACCTCGCTGATTGTGCTGTTTGTGCAGATTCTGCCAGTGATCACTTGGAATGCCTCCCTCGAGAAAGCTTCCAAGGATACTGACAATATAGATCCTGTGCTGCACTTGTGGCTGTCACAAGGCTTCCTGAAGATGAAAGTCTTTGGACTGGCTCTGAGCTGGTCATACTTTGTTGCTTTGGCTATCGCGCAGCTGGCCTTGATGCGAAAGACCATCCAGGCGATTGTGCTGCCTCCGCTCATGCGAACGCTTGACTAAGGGAGGTGTTCTTGGAAGAAATTGGAATTCATCGGAATGCATCTCTGTGAAGTTGGGCCAATGAGCCCAGGCCACAGGAGGTCTTTTCTTACTTGAAGTACCGAAGTTTCATCTTCGTGAATTCGGGTCAATGAGCCAATTTCGTAACTGGATATCTGGATGGAGGCATGCAGGCGTAGCAAAAGAATCTAAACGCATCGACAGAAAGCAATTGACACGGTTTGCTGGACCCTTGACTTTCGGGCTGTCCAAAGTTGGTGGTGCTGGTGTTCAACCAGCAGGTTCTGCCGACGAATTGGACTGGAATTAACAGATCCTTGAGAATTGAAATGAATTGAAGGTTGGTCCGGGGATCTACATTGCAAAGACATCGTGCGGGCGCTTGGAATGTGACCCCATGTGCAGTTTCATGGAGGGATAGGAGGAAGGGGCGGACATTTTGCCCGATTCCACGAGAGCTTTGTCCAACACCTTGAGTTCAGTGGAGTTTTGATAGAACGGCTCTATCACTGCTTTACTTCTATCATCTTCTATCCTTTTTCAAGCACAAACAAATTCACAAATGTGCAATGTTCCCACCAATTTGGATGTCAGGCCTCCCAGCGTCGCGTGAGAGGAATGACTGGGCCTTTGCGCAGGTCCACGAGAAAAACTACGTAAGATGTTCGCGTGAAGCCAAGACCGGAAAGCAAGACCAGATGGTCTGGAGCAGTTGGTCAAAAGCTTTGGATCACAAGCGTTGAGTCACCACTTGGTCAAGATGGTCCTCTGCTCGGACAATGAAAACCCCTTAGCTCGTCTCCGCGGTGTTCGGAGCTGGTGCCCAGTCTCGGACTCCGAGCTCATGGGTGATCTGGTGAAGGCCACATTTCTGGCCGAGAGAGACTGAGCCTAGATCAGTGCCCGCAATCTGACAGATCTGTGCAAAACATGATCCAATCATTGCCGATCTCATTGGAAACTTCATCCTTTAACTCAAAACCACTTGAAGCGCTCTGTTACATTGGATCCCTTTTGCAGAGTTAGACTTGGGCCTCGCGACATATCGACGGGACTTGACCCTCCGGTTGGAGTGCAGGTCCTGTGAAACAACTTGAAAGAATGTTCCCAAGATTCCCTTGCCGATGTCAAAGGTCTCATTTGTCATTTATGAGCTCCCAAAACTGGAGGATTTGTGACTTTCATGGCTTTCATGGCGGTCTGCTCCGGCGACTTCCTGGGCGGCCGTGGCCGTCTTGCCGGATGCCCGGTGAGGTGGGCGAAGTCTTCGAGGTCGAGGTCCAAGCGCCAAGTGAGGTGGATCCGCCTGGGGAGCCCAGAGAGGAGACAGGTAGACCCGGGTAGACCCGGGTAGACGGGTGGGAGGAATGGAGCACGACTGGAAAGAGGGATGAAGAGGGAAGAGAGGAGACGAGAGGAGAGGAGAGAAGACGAGAGGAGATGAGAGGAGATGAGAGGAGTTGCGGAGGGTGCCCTTTTGAATCTTTGGGGGACTTTGGGGGAAATTTATGAGCTAGGCAGCAGTATTCAAAGGAGTTTTTCGTATTTCAGGGTGTCTGTTTGGCAAAAGCTCAGTTTTGTAGCTGCGCCTGTTTCAAGGCCCGCTATGCGGAGAATCTTTGCAATCCAGTTCAGAATCAGGGCACCTTGAGTTCGACTTGGCACTACGCGAGGGATGCGATTCATGCATTTTGCTCCTCAGCCAAGTTGATGTCGGACGTTCCCTCAGCTTGTGATGCTTTTTTTGTGTGTGATGTGTTCGAATCAGGAAAGAATCCACGCAACCCTGGCGGCCCTTGTCATCCTGTGAAAGGGCTGAAGAAGCCAGCAAGCTTCAGGCAACCAGCTTTTGGATCACTGGAGTGGCTTGCTTTTTCAATAGATCTTCATGGAAAATAAATTGGCTGTTGGACTTGTAAGATCCAACATGATCCAACAAACAATTTATAGATAAATCTCCAACAGCAAGCAAACGGAAGCCACACCACATGTCGAATTTCTGCAGAGATTCAGCCAAGCGTGTCCGATGAAAGACCGGGTGCTGGTTTTCGCACGTTCTGTGCACGGCTTGAGATGCTGGCAGGCACATCCTGGATGCTGGCAGGCACGAGGACTTCACCGCATGAAGGAGGCGTCATGAGGCGTCGCACGGGCTCTCAAACACAAACACTGTGTCTTTGGCGCATGACAGGTGGAGCTTGAAACGCCCCTGAGTCTATCGAGTCTATCCCATGGATCTTACAACTGCAGAATTTCTATGAATTTCTGCCTTTGGGGTATTTCTGCAGTTTGAAGATCCAGGTATGAACTTCGATAGGATCTCAAAAGGTCGCTCAACCTCTTTTGTACTCCCATACTTTCATCTTTCCCTTCGGCAGCCGACGTCTTTCGGCTCTGATCCGAACGTCTTCGGCTCTCATGACCCGAAGAATGCAGCTTTTGCTATGGGCCCTGCTGGCTCTCCCTGTGGCTGCCAGGGAACTTGCCAGGTCCATGCAAAAAGTGGTTGCAGCTCTAGAGAACATGGAGGCCAAGAGCAACGAGGAGATGCAGGAAGAGAAGATTGAATTTGCCAAGTTTGATGAGTTTTGCAAGCACACCTTGAATGACAAGAGCTTGGAATCAAGAAGACTACAGAGCTTCTGGAGACCATTGAAGCTGAAATTTCAAAGCTCGACACTGAGGTTGCCAGGCTGACTGGGGAGATTGCAGACCACGAGGCGGCTGTGGTGAATGCCCAGAATCAGCAGGCCAACGCTACAGAGTTGCGCAAGGCTGAAGCAGAGGATTTTGCTTCCCGGAGAACATCTTTGAAAGAGTCCTTGGAGGCAATTGACAAGGCAATTGATCACCTAAAACCCAAGAAATCGGGATTTGTGCAGCTGGATCAGAAGGCATTTGAACTTGCTCCTGATGAGTTGGCAGAGATTTCCAAAGCATTATCACTGGCTAGAGCCTTGGACAAGCCAACACCACCTGAACCAGATGCCTACAACTTCCAATCTGGGAGAGTCATAGAAACATTGGAAGGCCTTCGGGACCAATTTGTGAAGCAAAGTGCAAAAGCGGATGCATCAGAGGCGAAGAAGAAGCACAGCCATGAAATGTTGCTGAGCAACCTTGAAAATGAGATCAATCTCCAGGAAAAGGCCAAGGAGCAGAAGTCAAAATTCAAGAGTTCAGCTGTCAGTCGCAAGGCTGAAGCAGAAGCCCAGAAGTCAGATTTGTCAAAAGATTTGGAAGGTGATCAAAAGTCTCAAAGTGATCTCTCTGCCGAATGCAAAGTGAAAGGCAGCGACTTCCAGGAGCGCCAACGACTGCGACGCGGCGAGATTGCGGCGATCGGAAAGGCCTTGGAGATTCTAAGTCCTAAACCCTGGTCGTCCAGCTTGCTGCAAAGTGGACGAAACGGAAGGCGAACCGTCCAGTGGACAGTGCAACGACTGCAAGCGAACGGCGCCGTCTCCTTGGCATCGCTTCGCTCCGTTGCCGTGGCTCCGCCGGTCGCTGAAGTGATGCAATTCTTGGAGCAACGAGCAAGCGAGCTGCACAGTGCGGCCTTACAAAGCCTTCTTGTAAGCTTGCAGGAGCCGAGTGCTGTGGAGCAGATTGCCCAGGTAGTGAAAACAAAGATCGAGAAGCTGCAGACTGATGACCTTGTAGATCCCAAGCAGAAGCTTTGGTGTGACCAGGAGCTGGCTGAGAATGGTAAGGCACGTGAAAGCAAGAGTGATACTCTGCAGAGCTTGAAAGCTGAAATTGAGCGACTTGAAAGCTCCTTGGTTTCCCTTGCGGAAGAGAATGAAGCGCTTGCAGCTGATGTCACCAAGCTCGACACGAACATCAAAGAGGCCTCAGAGTTTCGCAGGTCTGAGAAGGCCGAAAACCTCAAAAGCCTGACAGAGGCCAGCGAGTCCAAAGAAGCTCTAAATGCTGCCATTGAAGTTTTGGAAGAGTTCTATAGCAATTTGAGTCTGTTGCAAGTGGCGTCCTTGAATTCCAAGTCAGCGAAGCCAGAGTTTGAGGCAGGATCTTACAGTGACGGTGGTCGGAGTAGTGTCATCAAACTGCTGCAGGAGCTAGAGACAGATTTCACTCAGGAGGTGTCGAATCTACAAGCAACCGAGCAGGCTGCAGCAGACGAGTTCAAGCAATTCTTGTCTGATGCAACATCAGACAAAGCCCGAAAGAGTAGCACGCAGCAACACAACACGATGTCCATAGCCTCTCAAAAGAGGTTGTTGGAACAACGGAAAAAGGACCTCGAGTCCACGGACCAGCAATTAAGTGCTGCTTCGCTGTACCATGAGGAATTGAACTCCAAGTGCTTAGCCTCAGACACCAAGTTTGCCGATGCGCGAAAGCACCGGGACGAAGAGATTGAATCTTTGCAGCATGCCTACCACATTCTGAACGCATGAGATGCAACAGTCATCAATGACAGACATGTAGTGTAGCTCATCTACGGAGCCGAGAACAAAGGTTCGGGACGAGCGCCTAGCTTTGTTTGCTTTTAATGATTTTAATGTATATAGAATATAGATGAATGATGAATGTAGATCAACCCGCATTCATGCTACCTGGGTTCCTTTTGCAACTTATCCAAGACATGTCATATCATGTCATGGCCTGAATCGGGGTAATCATGGAATGCCTTTTAATCATTTCTCTCATTTAGCACTTCTGTCACAAGAAGCTCAGGCAGCGTTGACGAAGTGAAAGGCTTCGAGTCAACGCTGCCAATGGTCCGCCCTTTGGACGTGTCGCGCTTCCTCGCCTCGTCGCAGGCTGCGGCATGTCCGGTGCATCGCGCCGGTTGGAGGCGGCAGTCCCGCCATCTTAGATTGTTGATGATTGTTGCGTTGGCTTCATGAAGCTAAAAGGGTACCATAATCAGTAGGTGCTTGACAGAGCGTGCCCGGCATGCCGCCGGGACCCTCTGGTGGTACCAGCTTCAACCCACACCTGTGCGCGGTAGCACATCTGAAGATGAACCAGCA